CAATTCAGTGTATAAATAATGAACTAACAATTGGTATGATAAACGTCAGTCAGCATTTGACTTAATGATAAATTGTATTTGCTGACAAGCTCATTGTATCGACCATAGAACTTACGAAATGATGACTTTAAACGAGACTGTTGATATTCTTGTTTCATCAACTTGCTTGTCAATAATTTACCTCGTTTTAGAAATAAAGAAATTAAATTAGAGCATGCTCTTGCGTATCGATTCAGCTGAGATATATATATATATATATATATATATATATATATATATATATATATATATATATATATATATATATATATATATATATATATATATATATATATATATATATATATATATACTCCGTATGCAGGTGATGAAGGTATATTGCTGCATAAGTAAGGGAAGTTGACGATAGAAAAGTTAAAGACATCACGTTTATCATATAGCTTGGTTGTTAGATTACCATTGGTGTCTTTCTCAAGTAAAATATCGAAGTATAAAACAGAAATGTCGGACTCTGTGGTATCTTTTATCTCAAGCTCATCAGGATATATCGAATCGACGTAGGAATTGAAATTACCATTATTAATTGATAATACGTTGTCGATATATCTAAATGTCGAGGTGAAGGCCACAGCAAGTAATCTTTTCTTTTCACGCATAAGATTTTGCATAAAGTCTGCTTCATATGAATATAAAAATAAGTCTGCTAATAACGGAGCGCAATTTGTACTCATGGATATTCCAATAGATTGTTGGAATACCTTGTCTCCAAAAACCATATAGATATTGTCAATCAGAAACTCAAGCATCTTCTTGATGTCAACGTTAAAGTACGTATGTGTGCAATCAGAATCTGTTTTAACAAAATATTTTTGCAAATTACCAAAGACGAGGTAAGTAAATTTACAGTTCCATTTTTATTGAAGAAGCAGCTGTCAATGATATCAAAAAGCCTGGATTTTAATTTGTCGTGGGGAATTGTTGTGTATAAAGTTGAAAAGTCGTAAGTTTTTAAGCTGTTGATTTTTGTATCGTCTTGTGATTTCAAATTGTCCAAAAGTTCTTTAGAATTTTTGAGTATCCACATCTGATTCACATCACTTCTTGAATATATAGTTGCACAGTACTCTTGAATTTTCTCCTTCACTACTGTCAACATCTTATTGAGGAGTAACGAAAGAGGCTTTGTTGAACAATTACTGGAACCTGCAATGTATCTTTGTTTGTAAGGATTCTTATGAAGTTTCGGAATCCAATATATATAAGGTAGTTCAAATTCATTTTGGCTCTGTGGAATATTAAAAGTATTCAAAACTAACTGGTGATTATGAAGAATTTCTTCCTTAGAAAGGGAAGTATGAGTATAAGTAGGATTACCACTTGTAGAATTAAATCCAAGTTCTTCTAAAATGCAATTTATATAATGAGCCTTACAAACGAAGACAATGTTGTTGCCTGCTTTGTTGGCAGGAACCAGTACATACTGATCGTGTAATCTATCTAATTCTTTTTTCAGTTCTGGTTTACTGAACACAGAAGGATAGATGGTTTTCATATTGCCCCTCAATCTTTTAATAAGTGACTTTAACATGGATCTGATACATTTAATCCATTCTGACAAGGTGTCAACGTCTTCTTTTTCATATCTGGCCCATCGTCTGGCGTAATTTTCAACAGAATCCATAATATTTATGAAATTCCGACGCCAGTTGAAGGATCGGGGTTCCCTATATTTAGGACCTTTTAAAATAAGTGATCTAAGGTCCTCATTACGAACTATATTTACGTTACCTGTAATAACGTGTCCAGCAGGACTATAGTTATACGGCGACGAAGAACATGAACACGAAGGAGGATTATGTTTCAGATAGTCGGTATCCAGGCCATGTAAAGTGTTTTTGTAATAGAAAAGTTTGGAAGCAATGGTCGATGTATATTTGTAGGAAATAGAAGATGTAGTCTTTAGCTTGAAATATGGTGGAATACAAGATTGGACCCTTTTGTGATTAAGAATATTACTTATATGAACCGCGTCAATTCCTTTATTGGCATGTTGAAGTTTAAGGAATAGACGGATTGTCACATTTACATTATTACACTGTTGACTGGAAAGATTTCCAACACTATCGACATTGTCATTACATCCATAGGGAAAGGCTGTCCCTAGTTTTCTAATCCAAAATTCTCGTTGTCTATGGAAAGGTGTACTCAGCGACGGACTATTTGTGTGGTGATAAATCTTTTCAAGAATTCTAACTTTCATTGATAAAATAGAATTGGTAAAATAGAATGATCAGGTAAATTAAAATGTTTGTATAAAAGCTTCTGACCACCATGATTTATTTGAAATCGATGACCTAATATTCTTTTGCTAAGCGATCCCTTGGTTTCACCGACATAAACAAGTCCACACAGATTAGATTCTATTCCATAGACTACTTTAGAAGATTTGCAGTTCAGATTTTCCAAAGTTTTGGTATAGAAGCTCTGTCCAGTAAGATCACTGGTGAAAGAAGTGTTAGTTATCAAAATGTCACAGTTTTTACAGTTTCGCACAGAACATTTTGAAACAGAAAACATGGGATCGGAAAAGGAATTATCCAATATATCTGTAATAGAAACCTTACATTTTTTGAATGTGGTGTATGATGTATTGGTTTTATACCAGAACTGATAATCTGAAGACTGTACATATGACATATGTTTAATATCCCTGATGATTATCCGAGGGGCACCGAATGAGCTCCATGAGTCTGTGTCCCTTATAGACTCAAAGGAGTGACGCCTTTTTATACTGGGCGACGCGCCTGCCAGTATCATTTCGTTATTCTGTGTACTCATGAATGAATGGGTACCGAACGACAAGTATCCTCGGGGACAGACTGTCCACCAGCAGAGATACAGGTTCGGTGGTTAAAAGAAGGATATGGAGATAACGAACAGTATTCAATCTCAATGAAACAATACAAAATAAGAGCAGAGCAAACACGGACCCCCGAAACATCAGAGGTGGGATCAGGTGCCTTGAAGGAGTGAGCATCCCCTGCTTGGAAACATAAACAACAAATGTTGGTGACATTAGAATATTTTTTCATGAAACATATGGAGATAACGAACAGTATTCAAGATCCAAAGTCCATAAAAATACAAAATAGAAGCTGAGCAAACACGTACCTCCAAAACCTCAGAGATGGGATCAGGTGCCATTTAAATTAGATAAGGAACAGATGGAAGATGTACGGTAACTTGCATTTAAAATTAAAATAAGTCTTGATGGTGTTCTTTGTGGATTTTCTGGTCAAAGAAATTAAGATCAGTTCAGGCAGTCAGCGAGTTTGATCGCTGGTGACCGGGTTGCCTTGTTTCATTGAAGAATTTTCGTATTCGAATTTTTTTTTTTAGTTCCGTCAAAGAATTCTATTTCAGACAGGGAGGAGCCTGGATTGTTGTCTTCATTGCCGAAGTGATTTCGGTAGATAGAAATTGCATATTTCTCGACGTTTTATTAATTAACAATATTCATGTCTTCAAAACATTTTTCTAATTCTAAATGATTTTCGAAATGAAATAACCACATAGTTTGACATAGCTGCTTCTTATTTAGATATTTTACGAGACAAATAAAAAAAGCGACTAGGCTTTATGATTAAATCGATGACTTTAATTAACTTTTCTATCGTTAACATACTTAAATATGAAACAATAAACAATAACACCTGTAAAGGTAGGTTCCCTTGTTGATTCAAAACACGGAGGAATGTTCTAAGTAACATCGCCCATTCTTCACCTAGGTATCCTACTTGCAAATAAGTTAATGATGTAAGGATGCCACGAATGTTCGTTTTAAATCATTTGGGAAATTCAATGGTGAATACAATGCCATTGTTTGCAAATATAAACTAAAAAACATTGACTAACTTTTCAAAAACAAAGAAGATATTATCATTGTATTGATTTTTTTTTGGTTCAGTACATTTTATTAAGTCTAGTTTCGCCTTCGTCTCGGTCAATATTGATAATTTGTTTTCTCGTGAATAATAAACCATATTTAACACCAAAGGATTCCATAATTGTTTATTATTATCATTATAAAAACTGAATTCCTGGTTTTTGGTTTTTTTTTTACTTCATTGAGAGCTTGATATTGAACCATAACATGATTAGTAAATATACATGGTTGATATCTTCTTTTGACCTATAAATTATAGATAAGGAAGTTACCTCGGCATTTTGGGTCATAGAGACCATGATATTTGCATAAGGCCAGTGAATGAAATGTCATTGAATTAGATCAATTCAGATTTTTTTGTGAATCTTTTACCGAATAAAAATTTCCAGCTGAGACAGAAATCACTTAACTTTATTTTTTTCTTTATTCATTTTATTGTTTACTGGAGTATTTCATACAATAGTATCTTTATGTACAAGCTGTAATAACAATCTGTCTGTCATCGATTGCTAGAAATGCACGTATTAAAAGTTATTCCAAGTAAACTTTGAAACTATTTTTAACAATTAATTTATCCAAAGTTCACCCCAGGCATTGTTTGGTTAGAAAATTGAAATGTATCATGTATTTTGATGATATTATTGTTCAATGACTAACCACATGGCCCTCTTTAACAAGCCCTGCCAAGACATGTCAGATTGGTTCTACACCTTGCACTCTTCGATTCCTTTTCATGACTATACGAGGGAAGACTAGACAATGTATATTATTTTTCTGCGGGGAGATACGTCATCGCCATGGATGTGTTCTAGGTCTCATATCCGTCATTTTGCGGTAACCGTAAATCATTAATTTTTTTCTATTAGCATGAATTTGAATTCAATGAGAACATAGGTGACTATTAAAAGAGCAAACCAGAAAGAGAGTAAATGCAAATCATTTCTTATGCATGACTATAACAGTCAATCATACAGACCCAAACCATTGATGTTTCTAATTAGTTTATATATAATGTTGATAGTTTACGACATCACTTTTTAAACCGACCCAGCCGTCAAGAAGAAAGGACTACAAAATTTAAGGTCGACGGGCAAGAATTAAGGAGACAAACTATATAAAAAAATGTCCTTTCGGTGTGTTTGTTTGTTACTTTTGGTCGTATGTGTTGTAATAGATGCACAGCTCGATTGCAGCATAATTTTACATGGGACATACGATTACATTATTGGTAAGTATCATGCATTGTTATTTTCAAGGATATTTTTCCTTCTCGAAGACGATAATTTCCAAATGTATTGACCGATGCCCCACGTTTTGTCATGTGCAACAAGTTACTGTATGTTGATTAGTAGGAAGTGTGGTGAATACGTCTATACAGCAGCTTTTCCCGGAAGGTTTATTGAACTAAATAAGATTTTAGACAAAATCTTTAAACAGCGTGCTTTGTAAAACCTACGCATCCTTTGATGTTTAATCAAAGTAGCCAAAGGGAAATGTGTTTGACGAATTATTTATAAATAAATATCAATTTTTGTAAGTCAAGGGGGAAATTATACATTTGTGTAATAAAATTAAATATGTGAGATGAATATTTTAATCAAATAATTGTTTAGAATCTGACAGTGCCGATAAAAACTTGTCTCTCTTTTTTAAAATTTATAATTATTTTAAATTTATTGTTTATGTAATATAACTTATTCTTTTACACAATTTCTTGTAAAATTTCAATCAACCTATAAAAGACTAAAAATTTCATTTCAATGTTCATACATTTTCCTATGATTTATAGTATTTAATAAGTTGATTATATTGATTAAAACTTTTCAAAGGGTAAGAAAATATAATATATTTGCAATATCTGAACAAATTATGAATGCTTTGTTTCCTTGTGATGCTTTGTCCAAAGCAGGTAGATTTAAATATGTATAAGCATATTGTAATAAATTGTAATTATTTTTCAATTACTAGACACTACTTGATATTGAGGAGAATTAATCACAGATAATCGATCAATCAAAGTGACAAGGCATTCAGAGGATCTGATTTAGATTTCTGTGAGTTGATTCAGTAAAAATGAATCTACATATGACATTACTCTTTAAAACGATAAGAATTGTATGTGGCATTATCTAATTAGTCTTGTCAGAATATCACCATGTAATTAATGATATTTATCTTCAAAGGTGACATTTCTAACACTATTTTGTTTTCTTTGGGAAACAAAATTTCATTAGTACGCTTAATAGCCTACTTGTTTGTTCCAAAATAGTAAATTATTTCACATCTTTTAGAATAACCCTATTAATTACATCTATGGAGTCTAAAGTGATGAAAAACCTTGTATTCAGCAAAAGTTACAAGCAAGAAAACCCAGCAATACTTTTTCTATTGCTATCCTTTAGTCAAGATCCATGTTCCGAAACACAATAACGCTGATATATAATTATTTTATTGCGGAGAAACAAAATATAAAAGAAATTTTATAAGTTAAGAAGCAAATATACTCTTATATTTTATCTATACTTCCTGACACGAAAAGATTCGATCGAATCGCGAGAGACTTTTATCAAAGTAAGTACCACAAAATGAAAAATCAATGTAAAAATAAATACTAAAAGGTACCAGTAGCTAATATGATTACAACCTTATTGTGCAATTTTTGAACACGAATTGCAAATTTATATTATAGCTTTTTATTATCTAATTCTATGAAATACGAGGTTTATAATAAGCTTGTTTATCTTACTAATTAAGTAGGAAATCATTTGAATTGTAATAATTAATTTTAACAAGGACGTCTTTGTTTTTGAGGTTAACATTAAAATTTCATTGTCAATTAATTCTAAAACAAGTCATATTTCAATCCAAATGCAAACTTTTGAAAGAAGAGCGTTTCCTAAAACAGAGGGTCAGTTACAAATTATATGGAATTAGATGTATTGCAACAATGGCAGCAATTGTGAAATTTGAATTAATCGACTTCCCATTCAAATCATATTTTGAAGGTCTTTTTATATCCAACCAGCTAAGAAGAACATTTCTGACTTCCCACCCTTTCTTTTGTCCGAGTGACTTTATCTTAACTTCCTGATAATGTTATTTATTTAATTCAATGTTTTATTTATTTTATTTTTATTTTATTTTTCTCACAAATCGACGAGCACTAAAAGCAATTAATTTTATGAGCATCATTTGTGCCAATGAGATGCATAGGGCATAACTCTTCTGAAAACCACAAAACAGTATTAGAAGATAGAAACTGATTCATGGTGACAACTTTTTGTCACATTCCCAGATATAGCAGATTTCATGCAGGACAAATTTAAAATAAATGAATGATTGGAAGTCAAGTAATTCAAACTTTACAACGCCCTGTCTTCTTCCTAGTCTTTTCCATGTACTGGTAGTGTTTATTTACTCTTTGACATCCGATCCCACTTCCAATGTTTCAGAGGCCCGTTTTGCTCTGTTCTCAATTTGCATTGTTTTCCTAGACCTTTCAGTTTGATTATTCTTCATTATCTCCAAAGTTCATTCAATGCAATTTCACCTAGTTTTATTTGTATATTAAAAATAATTTGATTAATATATTTATCATTTTGGAAAATTTAAAAGATATCAATTTGATTTAAATGGACTTACATTTTTACAAGAACACTGCAAAGTAGTAGTATTTTGTGACTTCCTTTCTAATCCCCAAATTGGTCTATTTAGTGTATTTTAGCTTGAAACTTTAAATTTTATAGTTTAAAATGTGTTAATGAAACAATTTCGCTGAATCAAACGAATGAATTTTGGAGAATGTAAACGATTATTGACATGTCCGTTGCTACAAAGATGCAGACATATTGAGGTTAATAATATTATTACTCATATTTTATTAATTTCTACTTTACATGTTCTTTCGCATTAATGAAATCTTTAATGAAATGTTACATGCGTGATTAGTCTGAAATTATGAATCACAAAAACGTTATGATTTTCTCATCAAATTATCGCACGACTCGAGGTGCTCTTCACTGACTACCGCAAATGACGACACAAACCCCAATCTGACAAAAAAAATATCGGAAGACCACATCACTAGTTCTGTAAAGGTTTTACTTCTGTTAATAGAATTGACGTTAAAATTCAAATAACTTAAAATGATTTGATCTCTTATTTAATGGATACTTTTGAAATGCAGTGCAAGACCACATATTGCGTGTGTAGGAGTACGGGAAACGAATACCATTCATTTAAATTATTTTATGATGAAATAGTTCAATTTTACAGTGGGCGGAGGAACATCCGGGTCAGTTATTGCCTCCAGATTGTCGGAAGATCCAGACATCCGCGTCCTTTTATTGGAGGCTGGCAAAGATGATGACGAAACATTTGAAAGTCACGTGATCGACACACCAGGTCTTGCTAACAGCCTCGTCGGAAGCAGCGTTGATTGGAAATACGAGACAGAACCTCAAAAGCATTGTTGTGATGGCCTCAAAGACAAGGTACTATAACCTCAAAAAGAGACCTAAAATATGGCCTTGTAAAGTGTACAGTAATAAAATTAGCATAAAATTGCAAATTGCAAACTTCAAAATTTTTATCCTTAAAACATTTGACTACGGAATGTTTCTTCTACTTTATTCAGAAGTATACTTTAATACTAAAGATGTAAATGATAATCTAACAACCAAGCTCTATGATAAACGTGATGACTTTAACTTTTTTATCGTCAACTTCCCTTACTTATGCAGCAATAAACCTTCATCACCTGCATACGGAGTTCATATATCTCAGTTGATTCGATATGCAAGGAATGCTGTACGTATGAACAATTTCTAAAACGAGGTAAATTATTGACAAACAAGTTGATGAAGCAAGAATATCAGCAGTCTCGTTTAAAGTCATCATTTCGTAAATTCCATGGTCGATACAATGACCTTGTCAGCAAATATTTATCATTGAGTCAAATGCTGACTTACGTTTTTCATACTAATTGTTAGTCCATTATTATACACTGAATTGACGACGGATTTTCCCGTTATTTCCGGATCATGACAAGTAGCACATGGCGGGTGTGACCGGTCGGCAGGGGATGCTCACTCCTCCATGGTACCTGATCCCACCTGTGATGTTATGATGTTCATGTTTCCTATGTTCTTATTTTGTATTGTTTTATGCACTATTGATCTAGAGTACTATTCGTTATCTCCATATGTTTCTTGCAAAGGACTCACGCTGATTGTAACCGGCCAACAGGAGACGCTTACTCCTTCTGTGACCTGATTCCACTGATGGGAATTCCTGGGTCCGTGTTTATGCCCCATTCACAAAATTGCATTGTTGTAGTTTTCACGATATCGATAGCTTTTTGTTATCTTCACCCTTTCTTCATTTTATACCCACATTTTATTTGTTTATAAATACCTTTATTAAGCAATTTTAAAAAAAAAAAGCAGGCGAGACACTAAGTTTGACTTGATTTACAAAGAACTAAATCATTTTGACAAATCTTTAAAATGAACAGTGAGTAAACAAAAAGAATACTTTACTAAATTACCGAATTAACTCGACAGAAAGTCAGGTTGTCACGTGGAATGGTTCTGGGAGGTACCTCAGCGATTGATTCTATGGGGCACATCAGAGGAAGTGAGCACGTTTTCGAGGAATGGGAGCAGTCGGGAGCAGAGGGCTGGAACTTCACCGGCGTAAAAGATTTCTACAAAATGGCGGAAGACGTGAACATCAAACGAGTTCCATTAACAAGTTTGTATAACCTGTATAAAAATATTTTGGTCTTTCTTACCTTCTTTGGCTATATAGATATACGTCAGTGTACCGTCCAACAGAGTGATATTCCCATAACTGCTTTTTAGCTCACAGAGGACAATGTGGACCCGTGCATGTAACGGAACAAAAGGATGACTCCTTGAGGTATTCCATGTTTAAAGCTGGAACCACAGAAATGGGATGGCCAGTGATGGAGTGCAATATTGGAGAAAATATTGGTAACTTCAATTTGTGAGCTTTCAACGATCTCCAAAGTCAATGTTTTGGGGGTTTTACCACCTTAACAATTACAGGCTCTTTTTATTAGGTCTTTGTCGGAGCCAGCTTACAATAAAGCATGGGAATCGTATCAGCTCTGCTAAAGCTTATCTCAACCCCGTGAAAAAAAGACTCAACTTAGATATCCAAACAGAGGCAAAAGTTAAAAAGGTTTACTATTTATTCTGTGAAAATTATATGTGCCTGTTTCTTCCTAGTATCAGATAAACAACGGCTTTAAGTAAACATTTTAATTCCATTCTTCTTTCAGGTCTTAATTGACGAGTATGATCTCCGGGCAACTGGGGTGGTTTTTGTCTACCGTGGAAAGGATTACACTATAAAAGTGAGACGTGACGTTATTCTGGCCGCTGGTCCCATAGAAACACCCAAACTGTTAATGCTTTCTGGCATAGGAAAACCAGCTCATTTATCTGCCCTGAATGTAAGTTGTAACCTAGCCATCAGAGGTAGAAACAGGAAAATCAGAGAATCCTAATCAGAGTAAAAATAATAATGATTTTTTTTTCTTATCCCTTAATGTAAATGAGGATCCTCTGAATGAAAATTTATTTTGCAGATAACTGTTTTAGAGGATTTACCTGTTGGAAATAATTTACAAGATGGTTATGTTGTGCCTCTACGACTGTACGTTAACCTACCGACATATCGACCAGATAAACCCATGGAAAACGTTCAAAGGTGGAGAGATTACATCTACCTTAGACGAGGTATCTAGAATTTAAGACGTCAAATGGAAGGCTTCTCAAGAAACAAACACAATCCTTTTATTGATAAAAAGTGTTCTTCTACCCTTTGAATTCTTAAACTTCTGCTAAAGGAACTAATTGCTTCTTTTACACATTTATTAGTTTTGCTTATAAATGTCTTTTACTTTTTAAAGGTGAATTAGCAGACGGTCTCCTTGATGCACACTATTTTTTGAGAACCTTACCGAGCAAACCGACTCGATATCCAGACATTACTATGTCTGTTGTCAATATGTTGCCAGATAATGACCACTCACTATTAATGAAAATGAATGTGGAAAAACATGTATGTACACATGTGTATTTGATCGCTTTTGAAACATTTATCTCATCTGTTGAGTTGTAAAATCTTTACCTGGCTGTGGATGATTTCAGGTGAGAGACACTTGGTACAAACAAGGAAGAGGGAAAAACGGCGTCTTGTTGGAGCTGACTTTGATGCATGCTAAAAGTCGTGGAACAGTACGACTTAGAAGTGCTGACCCCAACGATCCACCCATCATTGACCCCAACTACCTGGCAGAGACTGAAGATGTGGAGGATCTACGCAAAGGTAAGGAGCAGAGTGTGCTGAGCAAGAATGCAAATTACATGTATCCATATCTCTAGTTCATCCACAATTTATTGATGTTGAAGGGAGCTTCGTTCTTTTATTTCAGGTATTGAATTCATTCAACGGCTTGCTACAACCGGGGCATTCAAAGCTGTGAATTCGGAGGTAGAGGAAAAATTTACAGAATGTAGGAATCATCCAGCCAAGTCTCATACTTTCTGGAGGTGTTATATTCGATATCTAGGATACAGTTCAAACGAACTTGTAGGGACTGCACGAATGGGCAGACTAGAAGACAATACTACAGTCGTAGACAGTGATTTACGGTGTGTATACTGTCATCTTTTGTAAAGTTCTGATATTGGGAATGAAGAATATCATCCTATTTACCAAAGTCATGTTTATACAAAATTCATCTTTCATTATCTATAAATCGAATGAAAATGTTATTTTCTTAATTTGAGATTAAGCGTGGGAATGCAGAAATTTTTGCAGGTATATTCTTTTCAAGATTCAAATGTCTGGGTAAAAACAGAGTGATAATATTGACATTGGTATTTTTTGTCAGGTAATGTTTGACATTTGTATTTTTTTTACTTTGACAGAGTAAAAGGAATAAAGGGTTTAAGAGTTGCAGATGCATCAATAATGCCACAGAGCACTGGAACAACTCGAGCGTCCGTGATCATGATTGGAGAAAAAGCTGCTGATATTATATACAAAGATTTCAAAGAGTCTAAGGAAAACATCCATAAGCCCCATGCATTTTTAAAAGCTAGCAAAACAACAGAAATGAAAAATCTAGATCCACTAACATCTAGCATTTATGACACAAAACAACCTGTTGTGAAACTTGAGAACACGAAACCTTTAGATCCAGAAACATCTCCACTGAACACTGCATCAGAGACCGATCTACTGAGTATGTTTGAACAGCTGGTAATGGACCCTATTACTGATCCAAGCCCACCTCTAGGAACTGAAGCAGGGGGCTTGGGTATCGGAGGTGGTGACTTAGCCTCGGGGATCTTAGATAAATCTGGTCGTCTTTCAGAAAATGCTTTGTTACAAATTGTAGGAGCATCCTCAGGATCCACAAAACCGACAGAAGGTGAATTGCCAGCGAACATACAAAATACTGCTGATCAAGCTGTGAATAAAGCAAGTGAGGCAGCTAATTTTGTCAAAGCCGCTAGAAATACTGTCAAACAAACAAAGAGTTCAAACATTAAGGTTCCTGCAAAACCAGACATTTTCTTAGAAATCCAGAATCTTTCTCTAGATTCGAAAACCCATGCAAAAAACACTAAACCATCTCTTTCGCCTAAAGTTAATACACTGAGTATCGAGAGATCCAAAATTTCAAGAAGTGTGAAGAAAAATCCAGAAAATTCTAAAATAAAAGCAACAAAACAACAAGTTAAGAAAAATGTGAATTCAAAAGTTGAACAGAAATCCACTCCACCAAGGGTTAATCACCGTGTAGTTGACATACATTCATTTATGAAAGGGCAGTCTGCTCCTAGTTCAGGAAAACGGGTAATTGACATGCATTCTTTTTTAAATAATAAATCGACCGTAGATGCCCAGAGTTCTAAGTTACTAGAACCATTCACGCTAGATGGTGTCCTGAAAGCAAATAGTGAAATAAATCGAGAAGGAGGCTTACGCCCATTGCCTGCTTCTCTTCAGACCAGTCGTGTGTCTACTGGAGGCACCGAGTCTTTATTTGACAATCACAGGGAGGTGTTCCCAAGCAGAGAGCCGGATGTTAGAGGTTTTGGAAGCAGTGCTGGTTCACTATTATCAAACAGTTTAGTCACAAGACGATCAAATCGAAGGCGAAATACTTTAAGAGGAAGTGTTTTTCCGTGAAAAAAAACTTTATTATTTTTTATAACAGACTCTACCTAAAGAGAGATTGTTTATTTTGGTGTAAAGGATGACAGAAATAATAAAACAAATTTACTGGAAGAAGACGAGTAACAGCTGTTTCAGACATCTTTTCTCTTTGGTTGGTTTAATATTCATACAAACACTCGTATAAACCTGAAAGGTAAAAAAAAATGTCTTTTATCTATGCATAATGTTGCCACAATTTGAAACTGTCACTCAAAATGAATTCCATCGATTCACGAGACTATATCTTCAAAGGCAATTACAAGACCTGAGTTTATGCTATCAGGTGTGCGATCAAAGTAATTAATTAGTTGATGTGGTCATGTCAAAGGACTTGCCTATCTTTTGATTCTTGTACAGAACTTCATTTTCTTTCATTTGTTGACACAGTTTACAACAGTGCTTTTGGTAATCGTCACAGAACTTCTCGGGTTGGTTCGTGTAAAGACATTTCTGTCTCCAGGCGCAGTGTTCGTACTGCATAATGCCACCACACTCCTCCCCTTGACCTGAAATATGTCCACAATGATATGCAGCGGTTAAGAACCAAGGACATAAGATAAATAACGCATGGATAGAAGGGAAAGGAAAAGTTTTTATCGAACAATTATATATAATTATATCAGCTAGTAAAAGAGACTATAGTTTTCAAAAAATATATATTAAAAATCACACTCAGTGAAGTCTTGCATAAAACGAAAGGTTTGGAAAAAGAAAAAAAAAACAAAAATATGTGTAGTAAAATTCGTAATAAAGTTTAAAAAAGACATTGAGGAAGAGCAAATCCACAAAAGCTGATCTAAAGTCACAAATATATCCAACATGATATTTCAAGATTAGAAAAGATAGAATCAAGACTCAAATGTGATGGCTGACAAGTCATAACAGACGAAAGACATCATAAGCGAACTTGTCAAGAGATGTAAAGGTTTGTAGGGTTTAACACCCAGCAAGAAAAAATAAATTGTATGTTAGAAAATACATAAAAAAAATGTATTCCAGCAGAAAAATGGAAAGGTAAATGAAGATAAATATATGGCAGAAATGTATCAAAAATAAGATGTAACTGTTAAGAAAAATAAACCATAAAAAATTACAACCACATACATTGTAAGGTAAATAAAAATAAAATTAAATATATCTGGCACGTAATTGAACGCTTAAAATTAGTTCAGATAAACCAACTATAGAATATTATGTACATCATGTTGCCGTTAGAGCTCGGAAAGGTACAGTGGTAGGTCATGCGTCAAGATCATGTAGCCCCCTTTTCTTTATTTCCTGTACTTATTTACTTATGAATATATATTTGTTTTTTTTTTCTCTGATAACAATAATAATACGATAAGCTTTTCTAATTCTTCGTGTCGGGAGTATTCTCAGCTGAATACGATTTAAAAATTGTTGAAAGAGCTTTGCACAAATGTTGAGGGGTACAGATTGATATTTTGAAATATGAGATCCAGCTCATCATTTATGCCTTTTAGATATGTATTATATGTATTATATCATATTAGGGCTCTGTTAACTGTTATTTGTATATATATTCATCATAGCTGTATTATATTATCTGTATTTAAATTATGAATAAAATGATTGAATATTTTTTAAACTTACAACGAGAGAGAGAGAGACAGAGAGAGAGAGAGAGATGGGGAATGGTCTAAGATTTTTAGAAATTAGGTATATGAGATAGAGAGAAAACGTGAGAGTGAAGTGAGTGGTGATTGAAACATACTGAATATGTAAAAGAAAGGAGGAAAGCATTAAAACGTCTACTCACCCGACATGATGGTCAATAGAAACACGCATATGACGACACGGAAATACAGACCAGGCATTCTCCACACTAGATGACTAGAACAACTGTGAAATACTCAACAAAGAATGGGATTATTCCTAGCCGCTGGAGCTTTATATTTTGTTCACAGCTGGACGTTTCATATTGTTTGAAAAATAAATAAATAACTTTTATTATTGTCGTGTTATCCATCACAAACAAGAATATAGCCACGTTCCATATCATATTTCATAATGTTTGAACAATTTATGACTTTGTTTATTATGAAACATTTTGTTGATGTCGGACAAAAAATATACTGATCATGACCTCGAAAAGTAATACTTTACTTTGACAATAGCGATTTGAACGTTTTGATTGTTAGTCAATTGAACATTGATTTTAATCTGAAAGAGATACTATATACATGTCTATAAACTTTTTAAAAGTTTTTGAGTGGAAATGTGAAAATAATTGTTGGACTAGAGAACAAATAACGGCTGCGATATACCTCGATCAGTAAGTATTTAAAATAAGATTTAAAAATTACTGCTTATTTGTAAAATTATGTAACAGCACCTGTGTAACACCTGTTAACCAATGAGAAGGATATGGCAATTTATATAAGGTAATGTTATTGTTGCAATACATGCACTGTATATGCCAATAAAGGTACTTACATGACTTATTATAATTCATTTTAAAAAATTAATTTTTTGTATTCTGTAAAAATTAGAGTCATTCAAAAATGGATGTAACTCATTATGTAAATCACATAAATAAAAAAAGACACAAAACGCAAGATTCCAAAGCTCAGAAAAAGTAACAAAAAATGAATAGTATTTAAAGTTCTCTAAAATTAAAAAACAAATCATAATTTTTAGATATGTTATATAAGGTATTTCATTAGAAAGTTCATGTTTGTGTGGCAAAAGTGAAAAACTGTATTATGTTATATTTTTTACCTTTGATCAGTCCTTTCTTTAAGTACCAGTTCTTTTTTTTTAAACCTTGACCTTTGATCGACTTTTGAAATTGTTAACTTGGTCATAACTTCAAAGGTTGACATGAAGGTCTTTCATTTATCACGTGTGTACTTTTTGAGAATATTGATTTTCTGATGTTGACCCTTTGCATTGTTCTACATGTTTATATTACCACTTTATATCATATCATATCAGGTAAAAATTTTGTGAATTTAAATGTTGTTATGAGGACATCGTTAGCAAAATTAACCTATCACAGGGCCGTATTTTGGCTGACTTGTTCCATACCATTTGCTTTTGTACTGAATTCGTCCATGGAAAGCAGTATATTCTACCTGAACAATTACATAGGGCTCACGGCTGTGGTGCCTGATTGACAGAGGATACTTACACCTAATAGGTACCTGATCCAGTCTCCTTTCCTTTTTTCATCAAATAGTTTGTCAAGAATTTGTCGTGTTCTAATGGAAGATAAAAACTCAGTATGCAGGTGATTAAAGTGGATTGCTAAGTTATAAAGGGTCGTTAACTACAGAAAAGTTTAGGTCATCACGTTAATCGTAAAGTTTTGTTGTTAATCTACCATTTATGTCTATTTCTGGTAGAATATTTAAAGAAATACAAATTTTATCAGTATTGAATTCGACTTGAAATACTCTTTCATTGATCCCGCAAGGTTAAATTGAAGCAGAGCAAACTAGAAACACTAAAACATTAGAAGTGAGATGAAGTGCCATGGAAGATTGAGCATATCCTGCCGACCGGTCACACCCGCCGTGTGCTCCGTTTCATGATCTGGAAATCTGTCGACCATTCAGTGTGTACATATTGGCTTACAAATAGTATGAAAATCGCTAGTACGCATTTGAATTAATGATGGATTTTTTTTTGTTGTTGACAAGGGCATTGTATCGAGCATAGAACTTACAACATGATGACTTCGAATGAGAATGCTGATATTCTTTTGTATCTACTTGTTTGTCAGAAACTTACCTCGTTCTATAAAATTGTTCATACTTAGAATTTGTTTCTGCGTATCAAATCAACTGAGAGATATAGACACCGTACGCAGGTGATAGAATTGTATGGCTGCATAAATAAGTTGACGATTGAAAGTTAGTCATCACGTTTATCATAAAGCTGTTGGTAAAAATAACCAAATATGAAACAGATTTGTCAGACTCTGTGGTACTTGTATCCTTTATTTCAAGCTCAACAGGATGTATTGTATTGACATATGAAATAAAATAAGCATAGTTAATTGACAATACTTCGTCGATATATCTAAATATATATCTAAATGTCGAGTTGAAGGCAACAGTAAGTGTTTTTTTCTTGTCAAGTATAAGATTGAATTTGAACAAATTCTGCTTCATATGAATACAAAAAATAGATCTTATAATGGAGCAAAATTGGTACTGGGAAATTGCAAACAGATTGTTAGAAGACCTGACCTGCAAAAACCACAAAGATATTGTCAATCTGAAACTGAAGTATCTTTTTGATATCATCTTCAGAGAACATGTGTGTACAATAAGAATGTTCTTTAACAAAATTATTTTACAAATGACCAATAACAAGGTAAGTATATTTACGAGTTTCATTTTAATTGAAATAGCAATTGTCAATGATATCAAAGATCCTGGATTTTATTTATCGTAGAGAATGGTTGGCTAATAAGTTGACAAGTTGCAAGTCTTTGTGTTGTTGAATTTGGTTAAAATTTTGTGATTTAAAATTTTCAATTTTTTTTTTTTAAAATACCGATCTACATTAATTTACACCACCCCTCAAATATATTAAGATATAGTTTTCTAATTATTTAATAGAATTTTCAAGAGAACTTGTTGACGGGTTCTTTGATTTATTAGCAGATTAGAGTTTAACTTGAAATAAACGACATCTCAGAGTCCAACATATGTTTCGTATGAAAAAAATTACTAGAAAGCGGACTTAATGGCAAAATAACAACTTAATGATTATTGCAATGAATTCAAATTTTCTTTTATGCTATAAACTATATATAACCTGCTTATATAGATGTCGTTATATGTATCTTCTTACTCAAAGACGTTTCTGTCTTTCCAACATAATGTTGTTTTCCTTCATCGGTCTTCATGAAACATATGAAGATAACGAACGGTATTCAAACGCACAAGTCCGTCAAACAATACAAAATAGGAGCAGAACAAACTATCGCCTACAAAACATCAAAGGCGGGATCAGGTGGCGTGGAGGAGTGAGCATCATTTAATAGGTTATTAAGGTGATATGGTACCCTAGTTAGATACTTTGT